CCTACCTGAGCATATTAAGCACTTTCTCTGGACAGCAGTCAGATGAGGGTTGAGTTGTGACTTGACCCTCTGTCGCTAGATGCCAGCAGTCTGTTACAAGACTCCCTAGTCACTTACCCTGAAGAACACTTATTACCAGTCTTCTTTTTTGCTTTCTTCTGAACTGTCTTTTTCATAATATGACAAATTCTGCCCACATACACACAGAAATTCCCATGCAGATGTTGGCAGCTTTGTTCCACCATGGCAAGGCTGTGGGGTGCAGGAAGCATGGGAACAGAGGGATCCTCGGCACAGAAGATCCTCAATGCCGCTCCTGCAGGATTAGGGATCAGCTTCCTGACACTTTCTCGGAAGCCTGGGATCCAAACTACAGGCACTGAAGCCACAAATGCCAGCACCTGGCCAGATGGCTTAAACCCCATCCCATTTATTCAGAAAAGTAACCCTGGGTTTAGACATTTTCTTTAGGAAGTTTCCATAATCAGCTGCCTCCGAGGCACACACAATAGGGCACATGTTAGTAACAATGCAGCAATGCATTAAAATAAATTACATTTTAAAAGGCATTATCTACCTCAGTAGTCTCTCCCACTGGGTCTGGAAGGTGGGGCTGGACAGCGCCCAGCTGAGTCATTACCAGGAACCTCTTTAGAGAAATCAGACAGTGTGCAGGTGCAGAGGGGAGAGAGCGAGTTCCCAGAGCTTGAAGATGTGCTGAGATCCCTGAGCATAGCTAGAGTCCTGAGACCTGCTGTTTAGTTCTGGTGTCTCTGCCTCGGGCTCTTCTGTCTGAGCACTCCTGGGTCACAGGCCAGGGCGTAGCAGAAAGAGCACAAGCTCCTGAGTCACACAGATGTGAACTCAAGTCTTGGCTTCGCTGTTACAAGTTGAGGGACCTAGAGAAATGTAGGTGGAGAGGGTTAAGGTGGGTCTGGTGGAGAGGCTTAGGGTAGGATAGTGGAGAGGGTTAGGGTAAGACAGGTGGAGAGGGTTAGGATGGGTCAGGTGGAGAGGGCAGGGGTGAGATGAGGAGAGGGTTAGGGTGGGTCAGGTGGAGAGTATAAAGGTGAAATGGGGAGAGGGCTGACTGTGACTGGTGACTGTATCAGTTACAGAGAACTTCCAGCTGGGTAGGGAATGGAATAAAGCCATGAGTGAGATGATGCATTGGGATTAAAGAAACAGGTAGAGGGACGAAAGATCCTAAGAGGGCAAGGAATCCATAAATGATGAGTGATAAAGCTGGAGGGATGGGAGGTGTGGTCAGAGGACAATGTCCTGGAGTTTCAGGAGTGGAGCCATGCTAGCCGATGACAATGTACAAAAGGTTTTAGTAAAGGCATCAATAAGATTTTTGAGTCCAGGAGATCAAAGACCCCAGAAGCCATGCACTGACTGCTATATGATGCTGCTTATTTTAAAAGGCTTAGAGACAGCTAGAAAGAGAAGTCATGCACATACAAAGCTCAGTAGCCTCAGGACCGTGAGATTATAATTAGCTGGGGAACTCACAGAGGGCTGTGTGGAGCATGTGCTACTTAAAATGGGCATCGTGGTGGGCATCATGGCCCATTTTAAGTAGTGGCTCCTGCCTGTAATCCTAGCACTTTGGGAGGCCAACGCAGAAGGATCACTTGAGCCCAGGAGTTTGAGACCAGCTTGGGCAACATAATGGGACCTCATTCCTAAAAAAAATACAAAAATTAGCCAAGTGTGGTGGTGCATGCCTGTAGTCCCAGCTACTTGGGAGGCTGAGATGAGAAAATTGCTTAAGCCTGGGAGGTAGAGGCTACGGTAAGTCGTGATCATGCCACTGCACTCCAGAGTGGGGGACAGAGTATCTCAAAAAAATTGTGTGTGTGTGTGTGTGTGTGTGTGTGTGTGTGTGTGATCAGAAAGTAAATGAGCAATATTTAGCAATGCAAAGATTAGAGGAAGCAATTCGGAGAGGATAGCATGATGCCTTAATTATGACAAAGGCCTTCAAACTAGCCTTCTTGACCCACAGTTTCCCCCAAGAAGCTGAATACAGAATCAGAAAGGTTGATTTTAATCCTAGCTATTCTGCTTAAAAGTTCGTGAGTTTGGGCATATCACAACTCTTTCTGAGTCTTAGTTTTCTCAACTATAAAATAGAGATCAGAATATTGTTATGGGTTATAGGACTGAATGCAAAGGTGATTTGTAAACAGCATAGATCAGTGATTCTAGACCTGCCCGAATATTGGAATTACCTGAAGTGATTGCTAAAATATAGATTTCTGGTGATAAACAGCTATCACCAGCAGGAAAGAGGTCTCTTGACCTCTGCCTTGGCCCACACTCCAATCTACTGCCCATGCCCCCATTGACTGAGCCTAACCAGGAGCTGGCCAGCAAAGGAGCATGCAGCCTGTGGGTCTCATTCTCCTGGCACATAAACACAAGGGGACACACAGGATAATTAGCACTCTCCTTTTGTCAAAAGCTTCCAGAGACTTCACTGCCTACTAAATAAAGCCTAATCTCCATAACTGAAAGTTCAAGCCCCTTTATAATCTGCACAATCTTTCCACACTCTTCTTCCACTCACTGCTAACACAACTGAGGCTGAAATGGTAGTCAGTCAGCACCACGTGTTCCCTGGCCCATTGGGTCTTCTGCCATTCCACCTGCCGATATGCTCTCTCCAGCCCCCTTTTCTCTTAGGAGAACCTTCTCAGCCTCCATTCAAGAAGGTCTGTCTATGAGGGCATCTCTGATAACCTCCAACTGAGAAAGATCCTCGTCTCCCTCGGCCCCTCTCTAGAGATTGCATTTGTCCCATTTGCATGATTCACCAAGGCCCACCTCACACCTGAGGTGAAGTTATTTGTGTCCACTATTACCTCTTCTATGAGACTGAAAGCTCCTTGAGGACAGAAACCATGTCTTTTATGTCCTTCCATTGCCCAGTTCCCAACATTACACTGGCTTACGACACCTCCACCTCCTTTCCCTGGCTCATAGACTCCTGTGGTTTCTCTAAGATCCAGCTCAAATGCCAACTCTCCTGTCTCCTCCAAGCAGAGCAATTTTATCTCTCCCTTTCTCCTGCCATAGGACTGTGCAATGTGTCTCTGTCCCCCCACCCCTTTCCCACTCAGGGAGTCAGTGTCCTGGTTAGCAGTACACATTCTGCAGCCTGTCTGCCTGAGTTCAAACCCTGAGACTATCACTCAAAAGCTGTGCAACATTGAGAAATGCCTGTTTCTTCATTTTACTCATGATAGGAAGTCAGTTTATATATGTAAAGCCCTTAGCATAGTGCTGGCATATATATCAAATGCTAAAAAATGTTAGCTATTAATATCACTTTAAGCTCCTTAAAGGCAAGACCTGTGTCTTAGCCTTTGTTTCCCTAGTGTATACACAATTCCTGATATTGATTGGTGTCCAATATATGTTTGTTGATAGCATGAATTCATAGGCATTTAGAATTCAGTAAATATCTGGGTGGGTGAGTGAACGAGGGATAAGTAGATGGGGGGTCAAATGTAGGTACTTTGTAAATGATGCTGGTTTCATGAATACATGAATCAGTAGGTATTCAATACATGCCGTCTGTTTAGTTCATTGCTTAAAACAAATGAGTGAATGAGAAAAAGAATGAATAATAGGTATTTAATAAGAAGGTTGATTGGTTGCATGGTTGAATTAACAAGCAGATTTTCCACAAATAGCAGATGTTCCATAAATGTTGGCTGGCTGAGTAAATAAACAAGCATTCCTAAAATGTAACAACAGCCTGGAGTCAAAGCTGAAAGGACACAGCTAGAGCACCAGTCAGAGAGAGAGGGGTGATAGACTCTATCCCCTCCCCAGTAACTGCCTCAGAAATTGTCCCCTTCTCCCTGCCATTTCTGAAGTTCTCCCCCCAGCCCACAACTGCTTCTGCATCTGGCCTGGTGCTCACGAGTGATACAGGAACCTGGGGTAGGAAGAAGGGCTGGAGATGCGCCAACCTCTTCCTCTTCTCCCCACTCAGCCAAGGACAAGCCTACTGAAGACCCTGGGCCCCCAGTACTGGCCTCCATGCCCCACCCCTCATGAGGAGGGCAGCCTTCACCTCAGAGCACTTTAGAAGCAAAGTCTATATTACAGCAGACCCAGGGAGCTAATCACCTCACACATTCCAGGCCCCAATTTCTGGCTCTGCTGTTCCCCTGAGGCAGCCCCAGCAACCACACATCTCTAGTTAATGAATTATTTTGCAACACGTCTGGAGATGCATGAACTAGAAATCTTACACATGTTGGAGGATTTTGCCATTTCTATTAAATATGCCATTCATTTGGTGGGTAATTAAATGTGCAATAATGGGATCTAATTTCCATCTTAAATGACTTCCTAGGAACAGCAGAAAGGAAGAAGCAGGGTGTAATTTTCTGGAAAAACCTTTTTTTCCCCTAAAGCTTTTCAGCACATAGAGAAGCAGGAATTGAATAAAATAAAGTTAGGTTGATACTACTGCCCCACATGTGAGTCTTCTGCCATTGCCCCCAGCAGGGAAAGAGACTAAAGCCTGCAACACAGCAGCATCCCCCACCCCCAAAGCCCTGATGCAGCCTGGGGAAGGCTGTCAAAAAAGTCTGAGCTCAGGGGAGAGAAGAGAGGTTGGACAGAAACAGGAGCTGGTAGTGAGGTGGGAGGGAACATCTCTGCAGATTGCCACAGATCTGAGGGTGATAAGCCTTCCTCCTCCTCTCTGCACTTCCCCATCTTATATGTGTGCTGTGTGTGAGCACATGCATGCATACACACATGTGCACAAGCATGCATGCATATACAAACATGCACACACAAACATGCACACACACATAGGTTTCACTGTCCGACGCTAGCAGCACCAGTCTGAGCCAACTGCAGTGAGGTAGCCAGGAAGCAGAAGGGAGGAAGGGTTCATGCTGCACTGGAATAAAAAGGGCCAGGTAGGAAACACCACCCTTGTGGGAGCTGCATGGGCTTTGAGGTCACATACCCCTGGCTTCAGATTCGCGTTCCATCACTTGCTGTGAGAATATGGTCACTTAGCCTCTTGAGACTCAGCTTCCTCATCTGTAAGATGAGAAGGAAACAGTCAACCCAACTACCTGGTACACCCCTGGCACACAGTAGTAGGCTCTCAATAAGCCTGATTCTTGCCTGCCCTTCTCTCCCTCAGTTGGCACTGACGGTCAGCCTTGTTGGGGTCAACATGCAAACTACAGACCAGGTCCTCCCCACCCCAACGCCTCGGACTGGCCTGCGCACTCCACTCCCCCTCCCCTCCCTCCATTCATCCCATCTCTAGACAGCCTTGGCATCTCTACTTCAGTTGGAATGACGCTTTCACCCTTTCTTGAGGTAGGGCTGAGATATGCAGGGAAGCCGAAGACAACATAATGCAACCGGGTTTCTGATGAGAATACAAAGGTAGCACCAGTAAGGAAGGGCAGAAAAAGCAAACCTGGGGCACCTCCCTTTCCTTGCATGGTCTGGAGTGAGTTCACAGACTTCCTAATCAGCACTCCAAGGCATCCCTCCCCTCAGAACCTTCAGGAGCTGACGCCAGAGAGCATCAAGCACGGCTTCTCCACTCCTGGGGCCGTGAATTTGGAGGGACCACTGGAAGGGCTACTACCACTGGCTAGTGCTTCTCAGCTCCTGGGTCTCTCCCAAGTGGGTCTCTGGTTCAGCTCAGCTTGGCAGAACCCCTGCGTGTAGACAAGGGTGCTGAGAGGAGGCTGAGAGCAGCAGCCGATGTCTGCCTTCTCCTCTGCTAGGGCTCCATTCTGGGAATCTGGAAAGAAAATAAGCAAATTATTCTGAGCATCTCCCAGAATACCTCAGGATCTCAGACCAGGAAATGGAAGTAATAGGCCAGTGTAACAGCTGAGCTGGAAGGAGGCCTGGGGTGGAGGTGTGGGGTGGGGGGAGGCAAAATGAAAAGAAATTAGGTGGTTGACTCAAAGCAGAGGCTCCACTCAAATTAAAAGGTAGACATGGGTGAAGGTATGCTGGGAGTGAGGCAGGATCCTTTACAAGGCAAGATCAGACAAGAACCAAAAGGACCCAAGGACAGTACCCAGCTATAGGGCCTGGGCCCCATTCCGCGGGGTAAAATGTGCAGCATACAGCTCCCTCAAGCCAAACTTCTATTTATTTATTCTTTCCAGCACTCACTGTTCACTTACTCAGTTACTCAACCAATATTTATAGATTGTCAGCTTTACACAAAGCAGACCATTCATGAGATAAACGTGAGTTTGAGAGGGAGGCAGACCTAGTTTGAGCCTCTATTCTGTCATTAACATTTATATGACTTTGACAAGTTACCTTGAAGTCTCTGGGCCTCAGTTTCCACATCATAGAATAGGGTTATTGTGCAGACCAAATGAGAAAATACCTACACTGCTTAGTATGGGGTCTAGCACACAGTTTTGCATTAATTTAAAAATGTGTCATTGCTGTTATTTTGAAGGCAAGGTGCTAAGATCCTAAGACGCTCAAACCATGAGATTATCCCCTTGCACAATCAGTGCATAAAATATACATTCTATAAAATTATGTCCCCAGGGAAGTGTTCTGTCCTTATTGTTGCCTACACTATCTGCCATAGTTTTGCACATGATAGGTGCTCCTTAGCTAGGTGCTCCTTAGCTATTTGGCAAATGACCAAGCATGAACCATTTCAACAGTAATTAATGTAGGAGATCATAGCCTTATTCAGAACACTGGGCTGTAGAGATGGCAATTTAATCATCTCTACAGCCCAGTGTTCATCATCAAATTTGGGCATCAAATTTGTACATCATCAAATTTGTACATCATCAAATTTGGGCACTGACATGGACCCAAATTTAGCCTAGGTATGAAATCTAGGACTGGACACTCCCCAGAGATTACCTTTCTAATGCTTCCTTTGAATTTTTCTTAAGTTACGGAATATAAGGTGTTACGTACAGGATGCCAGGTATTTGTAGTATTACAGCGTTCATCTCTTTTGTGCAATAAATACTGAGTTCCTGTCCAGAGGAAAACTGACAAAGAAATTCCAGCTTGTGATGAAGAAAGAGAGAGATATTGAGAAGTAGCCAGCCAGAATCCATAAACTCATAAATTCAGCTATAGGGCCTGGGCCCCATTCATAGGGCATGAAACAAGCTTGAACCACAAGGCAGGAAAGGACTTGAGGAATCATCGTCATCCTTCCCACTCATCTAACAGATGAGGACACAAGGTCCAAAGAGGCTCTGTGACTTGGCCAAGGATGCCAGCTAGTTAGTGACAGGGCTGCGACAAAGCACGGTCTCCTGGCTCCATTTCAATGGTCCTTCCACTACATCCGCTTGTCATCGTCTCTGAACACAAATCAGCAGAGGCAAGCAGATGACTGCTTTCTTCCTAGTCAAGCCAGAGGGACTGGAAGAGCATCACTTAGCAAAAGAGGGCCAAGTACAGCCTCTTATTAGAAGCCAATCACTGGAGCATGGCCACCCCCCAGCAGATGCCAGTCAAGGCAGCTCTTCTTCAGCCCCCACAACCACTCTCTCTTTGCTGGCTTTTCAAATGAAACAATGTTATCAAGCATGTCCATGTCTGCAATTAAGCCAGCTGGGCAGGGGAATCCGTCCTAGAGACAATTAGAACTGACACCTGCTTTTAAAAATGAAAATAATCTGAGGAATATTTAAGTAAGTCACAGTTCAGCTGCCACATTTAAAAAAAAACAGAAACAGGAGGGTGGGGTTTAAAGGATGGCCTTAGGGGAGAGATAATGGCCACTGGGCAAGGCTCTCCAAGGGGCCTCTTCCAATGAAACCAAACTCAGAGGAATCCACAGAGACCCCAACTTCCCTTTCTTAAAAGCTCTGCCTCCTCACACCTTCCAAGCTACAGGTCAGCTAGGTGCTGCAGCAAGTGGCTGGGGGCCTCAGGGGAGTGAAGAAAGGAAGCTGAAGAACTTAGGGAACTACCTGTGATCAAGCACCATTTGACTCTAGACCCTGCCCTGCACCTCCTCAGGTCCCTGTCCCTCTTTTTGCCCCCTCACACCATCCTGTCTACACACAGTCTGCACCTCCTTCTTCAAAGGCATCTGCCTAGCTCTACTTAGTTCTTTCTGACAACTGTTGCAAAATCTCAAGTGATAATGAAGGGACCTCTTTCACCATTTTCTAACCAGGGTTTGACACAGGTTCTGATGCATACTAAACATTTAATAAATGTGTTAAATGACCAAAAACTCTTAAACATTACCATTTTATTTCCACCTGCAATTTTCTATTTAATTCCATCTCACACCTATTCTTTACTTAGGTAGCTATGACCCTTCAGATGTTGGCAGCTGGGAGCACCATTTCATAGATGAGAAAACCGAAGTTTGAATCAGTGAAGTGGAACTGCCTGTACGACCTGACCCGGTTGGTAGCTGGAAAAGCCAAGCACCCTACAGGTCTTTCACCTGGGGTCTCACACTCTTTCAGCCACAGGAGGTGCCTTTCCTGAACTGTGGATGCTCCATGGGCAATAGAATGTAAAAGGGAACTCTGTTATTCCACGACCTAACGTGGGGCCATGTGCATGGTAGGAGCTCAGTAGCTAAGACAAGCCAACCTAGAGGTTCTGTTGGACGCTGTGTTTTCACAGCAAAGAGGTGGTGGAGGTAGGGGATGCATCATAGGTGGTGGTGATGGGAAATCTTAGAGAAAAAATGCAAGGCAGAATGCATCAGTAGAATCACAGGCTAGGTTGTATGAGTCAGACTCTTAAGTGCTCAGAGGTTTGGCGAAGGGAAGGGAGAGACCAAAGGAGATGAAGTCAGATCCTTCTTGGAACTTGGGTACTGCATTGAACCTTGATGAAAGGTTACAGTTTGGTTAAATAAGGAATCGGGAGCTGAGTCTTCCAAATGTAAAATATAGAGGATGGTGTTTATTCCCACCCTCTCTGGGGACAGGAGAATAATCAGACTATAGCAGGGGGCCCAAGAAAGAGAAAAACGAAAAGAAATGGGTCAGAACAGCTCAGGTTGGAACAGACCTTAAATTCCAGGACATCCATTTCCCTCTGCATTTTGGTCCCCATCAGGAATCTCCCATCCCTCTCTCTGCTCTTCTTTGTCAGTCCTTGTCCTCCCATTCTGTCTAACATTCCCCCCACCCCCACCACCCCTTCTCTTTCCTCTAATAGTCTCACCTTCTTCTCCAGGCCTTCTGGGGACTTCCTGGCCTCCTCTGCTGATTCTACTTCTGGCCCCTTCCTCCTCCCAGCCTGGGGTTTTTTATCCCCTCTACATTATTCCCACAAATCAGTTCACAGCACAATGCCACAAATCGTGACCAAATTCCAGCTGCCTATGCCAGCCGGCACTAGGTTGAGTATATTGAGACAAATAAGACCATTTTTATGTAAAAGATTTTTATTAAAGATTTCAAAGTACCCAGGATTAGCATCTTTGTTTCAGCTAAAATCCTTCCAGGCCACACTCCAACCTCTCCCCACTGCCCCCATCTCACTGCCTTTCCCTTCAGGGCTGGTGTAGACCTAGGGATTGTGACCACCAGTTTAAGCTATGTGCCACCTCACCCAGTGGCAGGAACACATAGAAAAGTGTTAAACAAGAACACTTCTATCAAAGGGATCTTTCACCACAACCCCAGCCCAGGACAAAGTCTTTATTCCTTCACATGTTTGATTACTGCATTTGGAGCTCATTGGAAAAAAACTGGCTTTACTTTGATGTTTTTCCAGCTCTCTCTCCCTTGCTTTATTGGTCTCAGCTACTCTGCCAGAGCTTCAGACTTATTTGTCTCCCCTGCATTTATGCACAGGGTGTTTGCGCAGTAATACCCAGGATTTGGTTGGGATTTCTGTAAAACACATTATCGTATATGTTACAGAAGACTGGGGGTGTCTACCTGACTTCTAAGCATGATTCAGAATGCAGAGCTGAGCACAGTCTGATTATTTTTAGCATTGTTATGGGGCTATTAAGTGTCTATCCATGCTCTCTTCTCTCCCTTGGGTCTCAGATGTCACCTTCCAAGATGCTCAGAGTCTCCAAGAGGAGTGTGGTCAGCCTGTAACAAGGCCGTTGAGCCCCCCTCAACTGCCAGCCTCTCCCAAGCCTTCCCCATGGTAGCTCTGGACTTGCTGGATGATACGAATAAACTTCCAGAGAAACTCAGTCCACGTGAGGAAATAGACCACACAGGTCCACAATGGATACAGACCCTTAGTGTGTCCTCAGGCAGTGCCCACCCAACACCAGGAACACTTCAGCCTCACCCATTCCCCTTCCCAGAGCCTGAGTTCCAGCCCCTTCCCTAAAGCTGTCTTCCGAAATGAAAGCACCTCACACCCAGCAAGTCCAGATGGAAAGGCTTGCTCTTCTCTTGGTTACACTCTTCTTTCCGCAACCTTCCCCTTTGAAGAAAGGCACTCCCAATCTCCAGGTGCTCAAGCTACAAAGCCAGGATACATTTTTGGCATTTTCCTTTCCCTTGTCTCTCCTCTATTCAGTCTTTCACCAAACCCAGAATATTTTATCTCCAAAATATCTCGCAGGCCATCCACTTCTCTCCTTCACTGCCATGACACTAGCCCAGGCCACTATCATCTATCTCTCAAGTAGATCACTCACTAGTGTCTCAGCTCCCACTGTTCCCTTTTAGTCTATCCTCCATACTGTAGCCAGATTGAGCTACCCAAAACCAAGTCTGATCACATCATTCCCCTACTTAAAACTTTCCAATGGCACTAAGAAAAAAAGAAATGTCCCAAGTCCCTTATATGGCCTCCAAGACCTTTCATGATCTGGCCCCTGATCACCCCCACGTGAACCTTCTCCCAGGCCACACTACACTCTTACCCCTCCTTGCCAAGCACAGTCCTCAAATATCCCAAGTCCCTCAGCACACGCTGGCCCGTGTGCCTAGAAGAGAACACTGACCCTTGTGTGCCCATGCTCATTCCTGCCTGGCCTACTCCAGCTATCCTTCAAGTCTGCTTCATATTAGCAAAGGCCTTCCCTGACCACCCTAATCTAGATTTTGTTTCACTGTTTTAATCTGTCTACATGGTACCCTATACTTCTCCTCCACAGTTTGTAATTACATGATTATGCATGCAATAGTATGTTTAAGTCTTCCTCATCAGACCATAAGCTTCAGGAGGGTAGGGGCCATGTGTTTCCTTCCCGCTTTATTACAACTTGGGGGCACAAATATTAATGAGTCCCTCTCATTGAGGAACTCATACTCTCATGCTAAAGACACACCTATGAACAGGACATTCTAACTCAACCTCTAAGGTGTCAAGGTGTATTAGTCCATTCTCACACTGCTATAAAGATACAACCTGAGACTGGATGAAAGAGGTTTAATTGACTCACAGTTCCACATGGCTGGGGAAGCCTCAGGAAACTTACAATCATGGCAGAATGGGATGCAAGGACCTTCTTCACATGGGAACAGGACAGAGAACTGCAAGAAGGGGAAATGCCAGATGATTATAAAACCATCAGATCTCATGAGAACGCACTCACTATCATGAGAACAGGATGGGAGAAACCACCCCCTTGATCCAGTCATTTCCCTCCCTCGACACGTGCGGATAACAATTCAAGATGAGATTTTGGTGGGGACACAGAGCCAAACCAAGTCACAAGGCTTTTAAGATTAGCAAGGTCTAGGGCATAGCCACGTTAGCCCAAGAGAACACCAGCTTCCCGGAGTCTGTGAGCATCTAAAGGATGAGCCAAACTCAACCAGTGTGCTGGCCATTTGATCATGGCACCTGCTGCCCCTACAGCTCCTTCTAAGGGATGGCTGCCCCACCTGGACCTGAGGAATGGGTAGTCATGGCCATGCCTTACACTAGACCTACCCACCAGACCTCTGCTCCCTGACACAGTTGATTTCATAATAGGGAGTGCCTGACCAAGAGTAAACAATCCTCAGGCTTTCTAGCATGGCATAGAGCAGTGGTGCTCAAATTCTGGTTGCTCAGGACATCTTTATATGCTTAAAAATTGCTTAGAACTACAGAAAACTTTTGTTTTTGTGGCTTATATCTACTAATATTAACCATATTTTTCATACAACACCACATATGTAAATTTTACCATATTTTAACTCTAAAAACATTCATTTAAGAGTTCATTTAAAAATAAAAATGGAAAACCTATTGCATCCTAACATAAACAACATATTTTTATGTTAATCACTTATGTCTTTAGATGCAGGCACACTTACACATAGACATATAGCTTAGAAGGTATATAAGCTCTGGAAAACTTTGTGATTTTGAGTTGGTCTGGTGATTTTTTCCAGGTCTCCTCCCTGTACCTGGTAATAAAAATAAACTCCCTTCCTTCCCAGTTCATCTGCATCTCCATATTAGTCTGCAAGAACAAGCAGCCCGACCCTCAGTTTGGTCTGGGAACAACGTCTCCTCCAACTTCAATGCAGGCTGTTGTGCAAGACCCTCCTTCTTTACCCTTCAGCAGCATTCAGTGCATGTAGTTTATCGATCCTCAACATTAGAATAAAAGGGCAGCTTAAAAAGAAATTTTAAGTCCAAGCCCCATCCCAGAGCAATTAAATTGGAATTTCTAGAAGTGGTTCAATCACTGCTATTTTTAGAAAGCCACCAAGGTGATTCTATCATGCAGCCAGGGTTGAGAACTACTGAGGATTAAAGTTTTTGTGTGAATCCATCTTCCTTCTTTCTGGTCTCTAATGCTTAAGGAAAGGAGGGTCCCCTTTGATAATGAGACCTGGACTCTTGGTAAGGAAGTTCATGAGACTCAATTATTCCAAGGCTATGACATGGCAAAAATGTCTAACAACTAATATGTATAATTAAAATTTAATGATATATTTTGTGAGCCAGTCTTTCAACAAATACCTACAGCATGCTTATTACATGTCACACACTCAGGATATAACAGACAAAAATTCCTGCCTTCATGAAGCTTACATTCTAGTGAGGGGAATAATAAATTAGTAAAATATAT